CCCCAAAACCCCAAAACCCCAAAACCCCATAAATATCAATTTTGACAATTATTACTGGTAATAAATTCATAGATTATTAAATAATTCATAAATCATCATTATTAAAGATTACCTTAGACTTTTGATCGTTTTTTGTGGTGCTTACTGAATGCTCTGAAAAATCCAGAAGGGAACTTCTATTCGTAGATGAGTTCCTGTTATTCTGATTCAATCTTTTGCTTGTCTGATTCGAAGACTGCTCCTTATCATATCTCTTTTTAAGAAGATCTTTTACGATCATATTCTTTCTTTAATCCATTTAATTTATCACTGAGTTCTATTAGTTCTTACGAGTAGGAAGGATAATAGTCTGATTTTCAAGGAACCTTTTGTATTCCTATTATTTTAACTTAATTGCCTAGTCCTCATCTTGCCGTTGCTTTCTTTTGTCTTCAATAGCCTTTATCTTTGATTGTAGTTACTCTTGTCTATTTTTCTCAATTTAGTCCAAATAAGATAATCTTGACTATATCTCCTTTATTTATATTGTTTTCATATCTTTCTAAGGTTTAACATTAAATGATCTAGTTAGTGAACCCTTTTATTCAATGAAATCATTATTTCTGCCTCTAATCCTAATTACCACCTGGTCATCTTCATAATCTGTTCCATAGGTCTAATTTGTAAAATATTTTCCTGCCAGTGCTTTATTTTTAGCATATATTCCTTATGGATTATTATTAATAGGACACCCATATTCTTGCTATGAAATTGTTAAAAGCTAAATTGAACTTGGCTAGCTTAGGTCAATATCTCTAGAATTTAATTTTAAATTAGTTAAAGAAATTTATCGCTTTGGATTGCTCAGAGTATCCTCGAATGTGACATGAGATTTTAAGGATGTTTCTTTTTAAAAAGATCTTAACTACTCTGATATGAGCACAGGACGGGGAAGCTTTGCTAAGAAATTATCACTTACAAATTTATCAGCCTGCTCCACTATATCAAAGTGACTGCAAGGTAGATATAAAGTGCATTTAGGACATCGATTTTAGTTGACCAATCTTTTTCTGAAATCTGCCTCATCTTTCTGATATCTATCTTTATTGCTCACAGTTGTAGATGTATTATATCTGGTGTTTTGAGATGATGATAATTCAATTGATTGCTTTCTTATTGAGGGAAGAACTATATTATTGTTTAGGGGATTAATCTTATGGTTATTTGCATATGATTAATCCACTGAATAAGATTGTATCTAGCTCCTGCTAACTTCTATTGATGACATAGCTAATGAAGATTGTGATTGCTCAATCAATTTATGAATCTCCTTTTTTATTAAAAATCCTTCTTATTTCAGCTTCTCATAGTCATCGACCGTCTACAATTTATTCTTTAGCCTTCTCTTTGATTAATTCAACTTTTTAAGCTATTAGCTCATTAACTGCATCTTCTCTTCAGGGTTTAGACCTTTGTTTTTCTTTATCTTAAGTATTTCTTATAAATATGAGTGCTACCTAGGGGAAGCCATATTGCTTTTGCTTTTCTTAAGAATTTTTTCTTTCTTAATTTGAGGCTTTAGCTCAATTTTCCTTGCTTACTTGCATAACTTAAAAGTATCTATTGTGGTTAAGACTGACTCTTGATCTAAGGTAATGTTGCAGAGTATATCAATATGAGCGTTGCCGCTGAAATATTCCATTAAGTACTTTGTAATGCTTGATTCTCGATATGGAATATATTTTTATTAGTTAACTGGTAAGGCAAGTGAATTAATTACGTTTTTGAATTAGTTTAAGCCGTTTTAAAGTCTAAACTATTTACTGATTTTGAATTTATCAATATTATTACCGCTGTTTAGCAGATGTCTGTCATTAGGCTAAAATTCAATTAGTTTTAGTGTGGATCTTTAAACTGAACTTTATCTAATATCAGTAACTTCTACTTCTATATTAAAGACATATGTGTGCTTCCTAATTTGAGGCTCTAAAAATCTATCTCGTTATTGCAATGATTTTATAGATCTTTTAAGCAGAGCGTAACTTTCAATAGAATTTTATGTTTAATACTCTGTAAGTCCTTTGACAAAAACAGAATTTTCTTGTTCTTTGAGCTCTAGTTCTTCATTCTAGTCTTGATCTTACAATAAATCATAGACTAAATCACAATGGAAAAGCAGTGATGAATTAAATATTTTTATTCGAAGATCTGAATTACTCAACTCCTTCTCTGACACTGCTTAGTAAATATCCTAAATCGCTCTCGGAATTATTCCATGAGTTTCCATTATTTCGTCATCGCTCAATTTCTATCCACTATTTTAAATATAACTTGAATAAAATAAATGTTACTTAAGCTGTTTCCTAAGATTTTAAACCTAGTTTTTAATTGAGAGATCCCATTAATTGCCAATCATTGAGTAAGTCTTGCCTGACTTACTCTCTCCAAATGCGATTAGAATGTGATTGTAACCGTCTACTACTTGCTTCACTCGTTCCTTATAGAACACATACACTTTTTGTTAATTCTACTTATCGTCGAGATCGTCAGCGAACACTTTGTCGAACTGAGCCTTCATATTTTTCTTTTATTTTTTATTTTCTGAATCTCTGATCAATGTTACTTCATCCTAAGATTAAAACCTCAAATTTTGTAAATTACATAATCAAACTCTAGGTTTATAGGCAAAGCACTATCACTCTCTGTATGTGAGCCCGGCTTTATCCTAAGCCCTACTCTGATATTATTATTGACAACTAACACTTCATCTAATTTGGACTCCTGAGCTGGATCCTCCTCTATTACAGTATTTAGAATTGTCTATTACTGCTCCTTTTGTTTCATTTTTAATAATATAAATTACAATAATTAATCTAATTATAATATATTTCATCATTATTATAAACAATTGAGATTCGAATTGTTCTATTTTTTATTCACACAGGCATTCAAGGAATAGTGTTGATTCATACCATTTCTACTTAGGATTTTTTATCTATTGAAGCAATCTTTAAATTCTGCAAATACCTCATATTATAATTGATAAGGACTTAATCCTCCTTATTTTTGGGTGAATATTCTTGGTGTTAAGAATATTACTATTCGTTTTAATCATGCAAGATATTATACTCTAAGTCCTCTATGCTATCGTGAGGATTTAAAAATACAAAAACTCTATCCTCCTCATTTTGACTTTACAAATCACTTGAGCTCATAGAGTTAGTGCAGAACTTCTAATTAGAGTTTGTTTATTTATTAATTAAGTCTAATTAAAACATTTTAGACTGATTTTATCTTTAACGTCTTATCTATTAGAATATTAAAGCACTTAGTGAATTTACTAAAGGCTACTAGGCATCATTTTGACCATCAAAGTTATTCCACAGTCGATTTAAATTGAAGTAGAACATTATTACTGTTTGCTCATCAAAATTTAGATCCCAAATATTTCTTCTCTAGTCTTGAACAAGCAATCTAAATACATAATTTATAGAAATATTACATAACTATCATGAGAAACAAAAATTAAAAGATGTTTTCTTAGATGATAATCGGTGATTAGTTTGATTGATATAGATGATAAAGTTTCTAACTTTCAAGTGAAATCATACAAACTCCATAAAACCCTACAAGCCTCAAGAAAAACCTAATAAATACTTATTAATACTGTAAGAAAATACTTTGCTTTGAAATAAATGACCTGGAGTATATATGTGGTTTCAATATCTTACTCACTCGCATCCTGTTAGTTAAGTTATTCATGGATCATGACTGTTACCTTCAAAAAAGTAATCATCTCTTAAAAACAAATAAATGAAGCTGAAAAAAATACCTTGTAAGCATTTTATGCTCTTGAGAATAATTAATATTTTGAAAATACTGAGAACTAAATTCAGTGTGATTCCAATCCAAAGACTAAGGTAATAAGAAGATACTATCACCTGTAATGCCTGAAACACGGCTACTCCAAACATAAAATCAGGTTTAAGCATTATATCTTTAGCTTCTTTGGAAATAATTCTGTAGCCTTTGCTTATCAAGTAGATAATTACAAAGAAAAATGTGATGTATACACTTTCTAGCAGTTCATAGGAACTTAGAGTTCTTGAACATAATTCGACAGTAAAATTGAATTTTTATTTCTCATCGACGCAATTCGAAACTAAGAAACCTTGAGCAAAGCTTGATGACATTTTTATGAGTAAAGTTAAAATAAACAAAGAGGATAGATTAGAAAGCTAAAACCCAGGTGGCTACTGTGATCTTGGCCTAAAAATAGATCTCTCTGTGACAAAATAATAAATTTTCTTGCTTGATAACAAGAGCAAATAAAGTAGTAGTAAAAGAGACCATGCCTACATAGTTAGAAATATAATAATCATTATTAACAATACCATTGATATATCCATAAAGACTTTTTAGATCTCATTATATTCAGCTATATTCGAAACTAAAGGATTCATTATTAATAAATTCGAATCTAAACAAATAATATTTTAAATTAGATTTAAATTTCAGCTTCTCGGGGTTTTGGGGTTTTGGGGTTTTGGGG